GAATGTGTGTGGCTTTGTGCAACTGCTCCCTGGTCTCCCTCAGACCCCACCCTCCATATGCCTTAATGTAATCAGCCTGCCAGAACAGAGTTCAGTTGCTTCAGATTGCATTTTTTTTTTCAATATGAAATAATTGTATGAGACTGAAGCACATAATCTACTTTTCCCCAGAGTGTAGAGGGAAAAGTAGAAGATACAGTATAGTTACTAAGTTTTTGTTCCAAAAATAAATTAATAGACATGAAATAGTGGTTTAAATTATTTTATTATCTTAAATGACAATGTCTTAAAGGGGTAATTTGATGTTGCTAAAAAGAACATTATTTTGTGTATTTGGTGTAATGAAATGTGTTTATGCGATTTAAGGTTAAAAAAACACATTATTTTCCACATACTGTACATTATTGTTTTTCCTCTATGCCCCGCCTTTCTGAAAAACGTTGATTTTTACAAAGCTCATCGGTCTGAAAAGTGAGGTGTGCTCTGATTGGCCAGCTATCCAGTGCATTGTGATTGGCCGAATACCTCAAGCGTGTGATGGAAATGTTACGCCCCTACCATATTGTGATGCCTTGTCCCGGCCGGAGCGTCGAGACAAAAACAATAAAACCCATTATAAACGAGGCATTTGTTGCATCCAGTGGGGACATAATTACGGATTATGATGATTTATACTGTCTTTTTATGTGTTTTTATGCCGCGTAAACATAAAACCATGTCTGCATTTGTGATTGGAGAAATGACAAACAACAAGCGCTACTCTACACTGCTCAAAACTCGCGTTTGAATGATCAGTGGCAAATTCTTTAAATATGAAAACTTACTTACAGTCTGTGAGTCAGAACAGCCTGGCTGAGAGACAGCTGGTAGAGTAGACAGATCCTGTCTACTCTACCAGGATCAGGAAACAGTCCTCCATAAAATGTGCCGTTATGCAAATCTTCCCACATCGTGACGTAGACATGTGGGGGCGTGTTAGAATGAGCCGTTTTAGGTTTTATAAAGAATATCTCTTTGGATTTGAGACTTTAGTCTTTGCAACTTTACAGATCTTCTTTATGCACCAAGAGCTTGTAACACTCCAAAGAGAAAGGGAAAATTTAAATCGCATCATATGACCCCTTTAATAAAAAAGTCCACTTCACTATAGAAAAAAAAGGTGAACACTGACACAGTATTATTGTTGTTTTTATTTTGTTATCTTGTTTTATTTTATTTGTTGTTTATTTTATTTTATTGGTTATTTAGGTTAGGGTAGGGTAGGTTAGTATATTATCTGGAATCCAAGTTGCTTTTCTTCCCCTACTTTGAAGTTTAAGCTCTATTTGGACTAGTTTTTTTGGAGGATGTTTGAGAAATTGTGGTCCTCTGAGAAATCTGATCCCATCTGAATGTCTCTTGATTGCTGATATTGTACTGTCCCAACACTTCTCTTCAAATGTTTTTTTACCCGAGCTACTGTTTGTGCAATAATCTTCCACATGCTGCACTTTTCATTATGGATGGTATCTGACAAAAAAATTTAATAGTAAAATTAACAAGGAGAGCCAAATCATGGCCAAGTCTTTAAACACATGACATTTATTTATAATAAATTAAAATTATATAAATAAATATTTCATTAAAACATACATATAAATCATACATGATGCACACAACTACGTCACGACTCTCTGTAACACCCTTATCTAGAAAACTCCCAGTCCCACATTTATAATAAACAATTAAATGTTAGTCCCATCTGAATTGGTACAAGAAATCATGGACGTCAGGTGATAAGAATTGTAACTCAGATATCATTTTCAAAACTAGTCCTGTCCAAACAGCTTTTTTGGATGGCAATTTTTCAGAAACATCACAAACTTGCTTTGATACAAAAGTTTGCAGTTATTCAAATACGTAATTAATAAATTAAAAAACGCATAGCAATCTTACAATCTGACTTTGCCTTATTTTTTTCTGTTTTCAGTGCAGAGCTGTAGATAATAGGCATGGACATTTCTATGGCACACTCTCCTTCCTGCCATTCATAACGCAGCTGGGCTCAGTTCCCCTGAACACTATCACACATACACACCATCCAGATATAAGGCAGTGCTGCTTTGCTTCACAACTAATCAGATTTGGCCACAAGTGTAGATACTCACTTCATCTTACACACACAAGCTACCAAGATTTAGTTTATGTACAGCGCTTGAAGGCTGATGTATCCATACCTGAGTTCAGTCAGAGCAGAGGGAATGCACTGATGAGCACTTCAGGCTTGTTATGGAGAGAGAGAGGCAAGGGCTACAGAGGTCAAGAGAGAGGGAGAGATGTACTTTTTCTCACAGCACAGGAGGAAAGTGATCTCAAGTTGACATAAAAAGCAGGAAAAGCTGCCATATATGAAGCCTCCAGGCATATCAGGCTGGTATCGGTGGAGTTGCTAATTAAAAAGCAGGCTCATGTTTTGCTAAGACTGCACTTTGAGAGGTTGCTGTGTTAATATTCTGCAGATGGGTCAGGAGGACTAAGTCTTCCACCGATGTGGGGAGACAGATGTCTCACAGACACGCTCTGAATACAGCTGCAGCTCACTCTTTCACTCTCTATCCTCTCATGATTTCACCTGCTGTTTCTCTCCTGCTCAGTACACTGTTGAATTTGTTCTGTTGTCTAATGTTCTTTCTCCACTTGTCCAGTATCTAGGGCTGCACGATAAATCGAAATGGAATCGAGATCGCGATTCGACAGAAGCTGCGATTGTCATGCGTATCTTTCAGTGAAGCACGGTTGTGATCAGCAGTAAATCACCATCCTGATTACAGAACCGGCATTACTATCAAAATGCGCATGACAGTCGCATTAGATTAATCGTGCAGCCCTACCAGTATCCCTGCAGTAATAAGAGCTGATTTCAGTGGAAGGCTAAAGTTTTTTAGTGCACTTGAAATGAGTTATACTCTCAGCTAGATTTTGGGACTGAAACAAGAATCATTCTCATTATCTGAACAAACATGTCTTTAAGAGTCCATTGACAACCACAATTGAAAGAAGAGTTATCACATTTGAGATGACAATGTGTGTTCTATTGTGTATGTGTAACAGCTGTTTTATATAAAAATTAGCCATGTTTTGCAAAGGAAACGACAATGGAAAGAATACAAAAGTCCGTAAAAATACCACCTAGTCTATTGTTAATATAAAATAATTTTCTGTATTTATTTTGCGTTATGCATTGCATTGTTTTAGGGTTGAAGGGAATGGTCATAAACTTAACGAAAAACATAATTTTTTGCCAGGACATAACCCATTTTTCCATGATTTCCATAATCTCTACTAGCTTGTTATTTCAACCGTTATATCCTCACTTCTGTTTTATTCATCAGTTTTGTTTTGTTTTTCGGGATGATTAGTGGAAATCAAGTTACTGCTGTGATGATATGCTAAATTTAGTTGCAATTGCAATTGATTGTTTTTTCTATTTCACAGTTGCAGTACACTTCTGATTTCAATACTGCACTATTTGAAAGTGACTGATAAGCCAGATGAAAGAAAACATGGTGTCAACAGAATGTGCTCACTACCAAATGCTTGTTTTGTGTAACTGGATGAATTGAATCCGTAAGGATCAGTACAGCACGTGGCCTCTGCCCATACACCCACACTGTTAATGGATGTTGGGCCCTGTAAACACATCCCATAATTGAAATTAAAGGGATACTCCACCCCAAAATGAAAATTTTGTCATTAATCACTTACCCCCATGTCGTTCCAAACCCGACGAGAATACTTTTTGTACGCGAAGAAAACAAAAATAACAACTTTATTCACACAGGAGACTTTATTGGTCTCCTCTGTGTCTCTCCGCATCACCGTAGCGCCATTTTGGAGAATATCCACTGAACGCAAGCAGCATACACTCTTCTGTGTCAGCCGCAACACAAGAATACGTTTTCTATGTGTATTTACGTTTTGATTTGAATGAAAACAGTGCATCCCTGTGGCCCGGCTGACACAGAAGAGCGTACGCTGCTTGCGTTCAATGGATATTCTCCAAAATGGTGCTACGGTGGTGTGGAGAGACACAGAGGAGACGAATTGTTGAATAAAGTCGTTATTTTTGTTTTCTGAAGTATTCTTAAAGTATAGTATTAAAATAAAGTATTTACAAAAAGTATTCTCATCGCTTCAAAAAATTCAGATTGAACCACTGATGGCAGATGGACTATTCTGATGATGCTTTTCATACTTTTCTGGACCTTGACAGTGTAATTTACTTGCCAGTCAATGTGACAGTCACAAGCCTCCCGGTTTTCATCCAAAATATCTTCAATTGTGTTCCGAAGACAAACAAAGCTTTTACGGGTTTGTAACGACATGGGGGTAAGTGATTAATGACAAAATTTTCATTTTGGGGTGGAGTATCCCTTTAAGCCTTGTTTGTGAAACCGGGGGATAGTGTTTTAATTTAAATGTTTGTGCATTGGATATTTACACTAGAGAGGAGAGTGACTATGGGTGACAGACGGAATGGCCTTATTCTGTCTGTCCTCTGTCCCTCTGGACCTGATATCAGTTGTCTTTTCTCAGTCCAACTAACAGTAGGCATGCACTGCTCTAAGGTAAATGTAGCTGTTTGCAATGTTGGTTCACTTTTGCCATCTAGTGGTGTTTTTTGGGGGTTTTTTGCCTTCAGTATGTGTGAAGCTTTATACAAGCCTCTGTTTCACCTAATCATTAGTTGAATCATGTATTAACACTGCATAATAAAGAAAGGTCTGTTGTTAAGAGTTCACTCAAGTTAAACTATGTAAATATGTCTCATGCAATGTGACCTGAGTTGAATTGTGGTTGTTGAATTGTGCCACCCGGTGGATGGTTTAATGTCTGCATCAAATTAAGTTTCCATGAAATGTTATGCACAAGTTAGCAAGCTGTTATTTGTGTAATAATTGTGATAGTCATCTTAGAATTTGATTTACGTTTAATCTTGTATTCTTCTTTCTTCATTTCAGAAGGAGCTGAGTCTTCCCAGAAGAGGCAGTTTGTAAGTGATACATTTCTTCTTTTTCTAGAGGATAGAGAAATCTATGGTCTATTTGTGAATAATCAGACCTTGGGAAATTGTATTAAAACTGTTGTGAAGAGGATGCTATGCCCATTCAGCAAAGTTCTGGTCATGTATTTTAATTACACTTTAGGATGTACTGTGTGTTATATAAATCTGTTTTATAATACTTAAAGAGTACAGTGGGGAAAACCCTTGTGTGAAATTCTTTATTATTGTACTTTGCATGTGCACATTAGAAAACATTACAAAACTAAATACAGTAATAAAGGAAGTAAATAAAGGACTGAGTAATTAAGTTATGTAATATTCATGTTGCAGATACTCAGTTATTTTGTCGCAGATCAGCATTTGATTAAGTATTAAGTAAATATTATCAAGTATGTATCGTTCAACACAACATTGCTTTTGAAATTGTGATCTAGAGCAAATTAAACTATCCTTTATAGAAAACCAAAGGACTATATATATATATATATATATATATATATTTATATATTCAGTCACTTCTTTCAGACTTGCATTCATTCCAACGCCTGGATATTCCTTGATAAGGCAGCATGTTTAATATTTCACACACTGCTGTATCAGTTCAGTTAGCATTCCTACCAAATCACAGTGTCAACACGGTTTACTGCACATGGACAGGGTCACGGGGGTCATAGGTCACTGGTAGGGCAGTGACAGGCAGATTACTGCAGGCCTTTTCCGACAGCTGAGCATTTCGGTTCCTGCTCTGACACACCTATCTATATCTTCCTTTCTATTTATTTTTAACCCAGTGCCAGCAAAGAATGTGCTCTTTACAGCCAATCATAAGAAAGCGCAATATCAGTATCATGCGATTAGTGGATGGCAGACAATATTTTGGTGTTATATTTTTGGTGTAGTTTTGAGTGCTACAAAGGCAGTGTGTGAGCAGACTGTTGTTGTGTTCTTTTTTATACACGTTCAGGGTTTTTTATTTTTTATTTTTTTTGCCTTTGTATAGCTCAGAGTGACTGGCAGAGGCGGGCAGAATGCAGGCTATTGTGAGGGTTCACTGAGTTTGTTCCACCCGCCGCGGGATTACAGGGCTTAATCAAATCAAACCTTCTATTCAGCCATACTGCTTGTTGGAGAAATCTAATTTTAGCACTCATTCATGCCCTTATTCATTTAGGGTTTTGGTACTTTGTGACTCACCCTCTCATATCTCTTTTTCCATCTCACCTTTTCACTTGGTGTGGGAACCCTGTAAAGGGGAAATGAAATTATTTATT